CTAAACGCGTCGATCTCGAAAATTATAAGCAAACTCCTTTTTTTTTTTTTTTTTTTTTTTTTTTTTTTTTTATATTTTGTTTATTAAGAAATCTGGTATCCTGTTACTCTATGTTAGCAACTTTTATCAGAGTGACATAATTACTTAGCTTAGCGATGATTGTGGTTTTACAATTAGTTATACAATTAGGTTAACAGATTACAGAAACATATTTTGGTGTAATTAACGAAGCTTGTCACCTATACATAACGATCGATTAGGTCGGTTGGGTAGGTCCTCTTCAGTCGCCTTCTTCTTCGCCTCCTTAGCAGGCTCCTCGCCAGGATGTTTGGATGGTTGTGGAGCTTTGTTGAGTAGCTCGCTGCTTGCCTGTTGACTATGTCGCCCACCATTGGAACCTTGAGGTCCTTGGCGATGTCGCGTGTGCGAATATACCATTCGGCTCCAGTTATTTTGCGCAGGGTTTTGGCCTGAATGATGCGAATTTTGTTCAGGTGTGTTTTTGCAGCTATACCGTAAACTTGAAGCCCGTAACGCCACACTGGGGCAAGGATTACCTTGTAGATTAGGACCTTGTTTCGGAGCGAGAGTTTGTTTTTGGAGTTGAGGAGCCAGCTCATTCGCCTTATCTTAGATTTGATGTTGCTCGTTACTGCAGAGACGTGCTTACTAAATGTAAGTCGTCTGTCGAGAGTGACACCTAGGTACTTGTGTTGACGATATTGCTCTAGAAGCTCACCATGAAGAAAAAGTCCGGGGCATGAGTCCTTGCGTAGAGTGTGGGTAACCGTGGCGCACTTTCCAGGGTTCACTGCGATGTTCCATCTACAAGCCCAGTTTTCAAATCGCTTGAGGTATTCCTGCAAGAGGTCAGTTGCCACGTACACACATTTGTTTTTTGCAAGGATTGCCGTGTCGTCAGCAAACGTGGCCACCAGAAGGTCCTGCCGATCATTCCGTCTGCTTGCATTTGCTGTGGGCATGTCATGTGTAAACAGGCTATATAGCGTGGGACCCAAGACGCTGCCTTGTGGAACGCCCGCTTTTATGCGTTTGGTTTGAGAGGCTACTCCATCCTGCACCACTTGAAAGGTTCTCTCAGTTAGGAAGCTCGCAATGGTGCTAAATAGCTGCGGATTCAATTTGTCCTTTATCTTAGAGAGGAGTCCTGCGTGCCACACCCGGTCGAAGGCTTCTTGGATGTCAAGGTATGCTGCCACCACATACTCTTTCCTGTGAAAGCCGTCCAAAATATAATTTGTGACCCGATGTAGTTGCTCAGGGGTACCGTGTTTGAGTCGAAACCCAAACTGGAACTTCGGGATCAAGCGTTTTATTTCCGGGGTATCCAGGACCCTTCTGAGGATGCACCTTTCCAGAATCTTACCAAAGGCAGGCAGGAGGCTGATGGGGCGATAGGATCCCAGTTGATTAGGGGGCTTTCCGCTCTTGTGCAACATGATTATATGTGCCTTCTTCCAAGCCACTGGAAAGTAACCTAGCCGAAGAGCTGCATTAAAAATGGCGACGAGAAAAAGCACCGCCTTGTATGGCAGTAGCTTGATTGTCTGGTTGTCCAACCGATCTTCCCCAGGGGCTTTGCTGCTTTTTAATCTCTTCATCTCCTGCTCTACTTCTTGGAAGGTGATTGGCGATACAGGGAGTGACATTTGGAGTGGCGCCTCCAGGATTTGCGCGACTCGCTGTATCCTTGCATGCGATGCGGTCTCAAACGGCTTGAAGCGCTCCTCCAAGTTGCAGGCAAAGGCTTCGGCTCTGTCCATTGGTGATCTGGCCCAGGTGTCATCGGGAAGTCGAACGGGGAACTTTGGCGCAGCTTGCCGCTTGTATCGACTGCTAAGTTTCCACAGCGCGAATTTGGAGCTCTCGTCTGCCGTTGCTTCCTCCAGCATGGTGTCTGTGGCATTTCTTTTCGAGATAATCAGCTCCTTCCTGACCCTGTTAGCAATACGACGATAGATCCTGTCAATCGTGGGGTCCTGGGTACGGACATACTCCCTCCTCAGTCGCTTTTTTAGGGCGAGAAGACCTTCCAATATGGGGGAAAACGTCCTTGGCCGCTGGCTTGTAGGGGCTGAGTAGATATGTGCGGGCGCAGCGTTGGCGGCTGCGGCATGTACTTGGTCCAACAGGGTTTGTACTGCAGCGTCGACGTCCTCAACTGACAGAATCTGCGTGTTTAGGTTGATCAAGCTATTTAGTTCGGCCTTAAATCGTTGGATGTTCGACCCAGGGAGGACAAGCCTGCGCTTTTTTGGGATCCTTTGTGCAGCCGTGTTGATCGTTGTGAGGAGTGGCAGATGGTCGGAAGATAGATCATACTCTTCGCGAACCGATAGTACGCTGTTGGGGATGCCCTTGAATATAAAAAAGTCGATACAGGAAGGCGTACTTTGCCGGTTGTACGGAAAGTGGGTAGGTCTACCGGTGGCCAGTACCTGGGCTGAGCAGGGAGTGAGCGCCTCATGGAGCGCAGTGCCTCTGCTGTCAGCTCTGTAGTTTCCCCACAGTCTGTGCTTAGCGTTGAAGTCGCCTCCAACGATGAATTTGGGGCCAAGCTGGCCAAACAGGGAATCAAATTCCGCTCGGTTCCAGGGGATGTTTGGTGGTAGGTATGCTGCCGCAACGAGGATTTCGCCCAAGGGAGTCTCCACCATGATAGCAGCCAGCTGTGTGTCGCTGGAGGTCACTGTGTGTAGATGGTAGTGTGCTAAATCCTGCTTTGCCAGCACTACAGCACCACCTCTGGCTCGTCCTGTAGGGTGATCCGCACGGTAGCAGACGTACCCCTCCATTGTTAGGTACAAGTTTGTGTGCAGATGTGTTTCTGAGATGAGCATGATGTCTACATCATGCTTTTTCAGAAAAAGCTTGAGCTCGTTAGCATTTTGGAGGATGCCACGAGCGTTCCACGATCCGAGACGTAACTGGGTAGCCATTATTTGCGGCTTTTTGGGAATCTAAGCTGCGGGGAACCTTGCGCATCCTTTAGCTCTTTAATGCTAACCAGAATGGTTGCAACTGCGGCATTCAGTGCTGCAATGGACTGCTGGAGGTTTTGAAGGATGCCTCCAAGGGAAGCGTCTTGCTCCTGAGGCCCTTGCAGTGGTTGTTGGAGCTGCATTGGATTGACGGTGGGCTGAAGAGTGCGCGCTGGGGGTTGGCGGACTTGTACATGATGGCCTGGCCGTAGCGCATCAGCATACGACAGGCCCTGTTGCACAATTCGGGAAGGTACGAACTGCTGAGTGGTTCTTCGTGTATTTTGAGGATGGCTATATCGTGTAGGAGGGGAGACATTGATGGCCGGCTGCCTGGCATTTAGTCTCACCTGATAGCTTTTGCATCCTTTATAGGAAGCAGCATGGTTTCCCTCGCAGTTGGAGCATCGCAGGTCTGCCACTGTTTTGGCCTGGCACTGCTCGGAGTTTGTCCAATGGGACTGACCGCACCTACCACACTTGGGCTGTTTGAGACAGTAGTTTTTGGTGTGGTCGAACTCGAAGCAGCGGAAACACTGCCTTATACTATTGTTCTTCCTCGGAAGCTCAATAGTGACCCGTTGGCGGCCAACCTTGTTGAGCCGCAGCGCTTCCCTGTTGTTAAGAGACTGCTTGAGATCGACAAACCAGAAGTTGCGACTTGGAAAGTCGTTGGTGGAGTCTGCATCACTTGTTGGCTGTCTGGCGCCCGGGTTGTAAAGGTTCGTCACAATATGGCCGTGCGATGTAAAGGCAGCTTCAATCTGGCTTCTGGGAGTGGAAGCGGCCAGATTTTTAACCATAACGCGGTATGGTCTGTCTTCCTTTAGGCAGAAGTGGGTAAATTGCACTCTCACTTCAGTGAGCTTGCGGACAATTGCTCTGTGGGTGTCGGCATCTTTGGCGTAAATTCTTAGATAGCCAGAGGGAGAGACCTTGAATTCATAGGCGTCTGCGCCCACTGCCTGATCTATGGTTCGCTCCATTGCGACAATATCGCTGACTCCAGGGACTGTTATCGGCCTGGGTTTGGAGATCTTTTTCGCTGATTGTTGTTGGTCTGTGACTGGAGGCGCTTCGTCGGCAGTGTCCATCTCGCCGTCATCGATTACAGAGGCGTCTTCCTGAGGCTCAAGGGAGGCATATCTGTTGCTAATTGCCGAAGCGGTACTGGGAGTTGCGGGCTTAGCTCCAGCGCGGCTGGTGTTGCGGTTATTTAGTTGCTTCCCTTTTTTTACGCCTTCGGATAATAATGTAGTCCCACGCCGTTTTTTTGCGGAAACCGTTTGCCAATCTACCAGTGGCTCTTCGAAGGCTGGCGTAGCACCTGCGTTCTTTATGGGAGGCAGAGGGGGGTTTGTGACACAAGAACCAGCTGCCTGGGTGCCATAAGGGGTGGACTGCAAGGTCGGATTGGCGGCTTTGGGGCGGGTCCCGATGGGCTCTAAAGCGGCGCGGCTTGTGCCTGTTGAGGCAGATGTCCTGCAGCCGCTGCTGGATGACGCTGTGGTTGTGGTGGTTGTTGCTGTCGTTGTGCTGACAGTGCCGTGCTGTTGCGGTTGCCAAGTCGAGCATTGCTGGGTACCGGCTGACAGCGAGGTGGAGGCGCCGTTCCGGTTTGCACTACTGGCGAGCACGTTGTTGTAATATTGGTAAAAATCTTCCAGTGGCCTGCTTCCGTCGAGGCGATCGACATTAGCGGCTATATTTGTAGGGGATATAATTGAGCTGTTCGGCAGCGGGTAGATTGGCGAATGAATTTCTTCGTTGTTTTGGGGTCGGTTGTTTGTAGCCATTGTTCTTTACTTTGTTATAATTTTTTCCCCACAGGGAGAAAAAAGAATAAAAAATAAAAACAAAACAAGTTTTTTACACTTAATTACAAAAATAACCCGTATTTTTGTAACAAGTGATTGATCACAAATTGTGACTTTAGTGTCAGCACTGTCACTGCAGTGACTGTTTTGCCAGCACTATCAGTGCAGCTGCAAGCTGAAAGCTCTCTCGCGAAAGCTTTGCTGCACTCGCGCACACACACACGCACTTGAGTTGCGATCAGCTGAGCGCAGCTTAAGTTTTGCAAGAACTTGTTCTCACGCACTGCACGCGGTAATTTTTTTGTTAAAATATTGTTAATTTGTATAACACTCCGGCTGCCAGAGGCAGCAGTTGCGTATAGTTTACCCACTATAAGCGGGATTTGTATGGATTGCCCTGGGGCGGGCTTTATACAGTGTCACTGTCACTTTCTTGGTTTATGCCTGCTGCCAGCGGTGCACTAACGCGCACACACACACGAGACTGCAATTTTCACGTCCGATCTCCAGAGAAACACAAACGTAAGTGAGGCAAACTCCTAGTTTTACAAATATTAAAATCTTACATTTTACTTTTGTTTCATTTCATTTTGCACTACTAAGCTCTCATGTGTATACTTTGCGGTTGACATAAGATCGCTAAGGTGATTTGTGAGCACCATTATAATCAGAAAGTCTAGCTTCGAGTTCGAGATGAACAGACAACGATTTCCTATTTTGAATATGTGTATTCATTCAATTTTCATTTATTGCATGGTTCAGAATGTTATAAAAGGCAAGTTGGAGGCCTTTAGTGTGGAGTATCCAATCCAGCTACCAGCAAGACCGCCGTTTCTTTCACAAAGGAAACTATGTGATTCCTTGCTTAATGGACGCTATATTCATGACATAACACTCTGGATTCCCTCTTAGATGATTATGTTCCCAACTCGAGTCCTTCCGTTGCTCTTTCAAAGCCATCCTGGCTTACGCGAGACAGTTTAATAATTTTGTAAGCTTGAAGCGAAAATCTTCAATTTCTCTCGGGGTAGATAAAGCACGGCCAATCACTTGTATCTAAATTGTTCAAAGTGTATGTTTATGATCTTCAATCGTACTAACAGTTAAGGATGTAGGCGTTCTTTTTATACCCTGAACCCATTGAAATTGGGTAAAAAGGGTATTACGTATTTGTGCAAATGTATGTAACACTCAGAAAGAAGCATCGCCGACCCCATAAGGTATATATATTCATGATCAGCATCAATAGCCGAGTCTTGCTACTTATGTCCGAAAATCTATTGATATCTATATATATTTATATATATGTATGTATATATTTATATGTATTATAATCAGAGGGTAATAGAATCAGAGACACTTCCTCCTTTCTGTTAAATACAATTGTACAAATCTATTATAGCCTATATAAAAACCTGCTTACCAGGAAATTTGATCACATTTTCAACTTTTTAACAGATTTTGGGTCTGATGAATTATTAACTATTGTTGATTTATATCATCAAAATATATTATATGCTCGTTAGATCATAGAGTAAATTGTCGGCATTGTGCGAACTGCTTATAATTGCTGTAATTTGTTCGCATACAATTGCGCAAACTTATTTACGTACAATGTGTAGGTTAAAACTAATTGAAGGCTAGCAGCATCAAGTGCCCCAAATGAAATCAGCAATCGTTATCATAAAAAAATCTGTTAAAACGACAAATTTGTACATTACTCATTAGAAAATATTTGTATGTAAAGCAACGGCAACGCCAGTCTAGTGCAGAGGGCTCGACTAGCAGATACCTAACATCCTGGCCTAGACTCTAACTGGTATGTGTACACATACAGAAAAGTTCCAGGTAGCATCTAAAATGCCTTAGCACGAAAGCCACCAGTTTCAGAAAGGGAAGCCCTATGCTAATGTATGTACGAGGCAGAAGGAAGAATTTGTACGATGATTGTGAATTTCAAAGTATTCTAAAGCACATTAGACTGGGTACAGACTATCTGCCAGCTGTTCAGCTGTCAGTACTCAATTGTTTTGAATTTTCCCATTTCTGATTTCTAAGAAACTTAATTAAAAATTAAATTAAAACAGCTATGCCGTTCTATCCCACAAATCATATGGATTGCTTACACTTCTGCTCTCTGAGCAATTGAACGAGTCTCGGACCCGAACAAAAACGAACTCGACTTGGACCAGAACTCTAAAAATTTAATGGCTACAAATTTTTCTTCTAGCTGTTCCATCAATATGTTGTATGGTTAGTGGTATTACGCACTATAACATAATAACACCGCGCTGTTGATTAATTGGTTAAAGCTATTTTCAGGTTGCGATCAAATCAAAAGTAAAGCACTTTTATTATGATAATTGAGCCGCCCGATATTAAAAAATCTCGTACATGTACTCTGGACATACATGTGTATGTAAGAAAAAATAAAACTTTGTATGCAATTCAGACCGGAGACAATGACATACAAAATAGTTTTTCAATGAATACTAGCTAAAAGCGTAGCACGCAGTGAACAGCGAAATAGCAAATGACACATAGTAAAAAGCATATATGATTACAAATTAGTCAAACTCGCTTTAATGAAATCACGAAAAACTAATTAACACTTCGAGTTATTGCTAAACGAATGACATATGTAACGCAAGGAAACACTTTATTGAGTTAAAAGCGAAGCTGTTCAATATTTCAAAATATATTTATTGACATCTTTATTAAAAGCCAAATATGTACAAACATACAGCTAATAGTATAAAACTGATTGTCCTAACTATTAGTGAGGAAAGGTGCGTGATAGACACCAGAAGTTCTTATGGAAATACATATGTACAACTTATGTACATACATATGTACCTTATGTGAAGTATGTTGTTTGGAAAATTCTTACCGTATGCGTGGAATACGTTTCTATAGGATTGTTTTTAAAGATCGTTGCAAAATGTTATTGGGAGAACTTAGCTAAGTACGGTGATGCTATGCTTCTGATACGTCTACAAAGCCGCATCAAATGAGGAACAAACGGTCGGCAATAAAGCGTTTTTAGTAGTAAAACAGTTCATTTCAGGTTAAGCTTTCAATCTAAAATTAGCAACTGACAGAGAGTACGCATTTCATTTCACACTGGCACGAAACACTAAATTTGCTTAATTTGATGTATTTGTTGGGCAAAAATATAAAAATGAAAAAAGAATGCCAAAAAAAAAAAAAGTAAGCCAAAAAACACGTAAGTCCTGTAAATGGGCGGCACAATATTTATCCAGCTAAAAAAAAAAAAGAATAGTTCATTTTTGGAGCAACAAGGAGCTTGCTATTTTACAAATAAAACTCACCAACGGGTTGGGGACTGCCCGCAATATCTGCTGGATAAGCTGGGGCAATAGGCGCTAGAGGCACACGCTCTGTGGGCGCATCGGGGATTCCAGTGATCGGGGACCTTGGTGTGGAGGCGTCGTCGGTGAGGCGATGTTTTAGCTCGTCATATTTCTGCGCAACTGAGCTGGTAAAATCCTTGGCACCTTCGCCAATCTTTTCAGCATAGGGCCTAGCCGCATCGGCGACCTCCCCGGCACCCTGCTTCACCTTGCAGCCAAAGTTCTTAAAAAAGTTTTTAAAATCGCTGTCGTCTGGATTCTTGACCTCATCGCAGTCGGCAGCGCGACACTGACTACTCAACAGCACCAGACCGAGTACCGAGCAAAATATGATAATAGCTTTCATGTTGCTGATTGTTGGCTTTAACTATTCACTTCGAGCTTGTCACTGCGACTGAACGAAGCAAATTGACTCACAGTCGCACAATGCCAGAACCACCGAAGCTTAGATTCGTGAGCCATACCGGTTTATTAGCGCTTCGTCGCGCTGATCTGCACTTGCCCCGTTCTCTGTCGCATCTTCATTCAAACACGAATAAATTGAACCGACAGCGTAAGACAAAATAAACTTTATTTACATTCAATGCGAGCCAGAGCTTATCTTTTATATAGGTTCAAAAAGTCAATTCCATAACAGGTATATAGGGTCGGCTATTGATGCTTATCAAGACTTTATTTTGACAAAACATACATTTAATTAAATAAAATGAGTACTCTTAAACTAGATTCATTCGATTTACTTAAATTTAAATGAATTGAAAATGCGTCTCTTTTGATTTTTGTAATGGGCCCGCATTTTCATGCGCTGCATTAACCGAATGCGTAGTGTATATGTATATTGGGGCTCGGATACGTCTCTTGAGCCTTAAGGTTCAGAAGGTTTCCCCAGAATTGAAGAAAAATAGCACACGGACGGGTAGACAGACGAACGAATGTACGAATGTACATACTGTATGGAGTAAAAGATACCTACTTCTACCTATTACACACATTTCAGCAAAATCATTTTACCGTCATACAAATTTTTAATCGGTTCAGGGTATACAAACAACAAAATTATTAAAGAATGCTTTTCAAATAAAACTAAAAGCCTTTAAGCATGCTGCGTATATATGGTCCTTGTGTTTTTTAAGATAAACATTCTTATGAATGAGTTTGTGTGGAAAGAAGTTCAAGTGCTTGTTGCGACAGCTTGCACTGAGTACGCGGTATCTCCATGTCGATATCCCCTTGTCGCTGACTCGACAATAGCTCTCTTTCGGTTTTATTTCACATTTGTAAAAAATTATTGTTTTCAGTTTGTGATTCATACTCTATGGCATCTAAGACTACAATTACATTGCATCATCGTAATCTAATGCTAGATAAATGCATATATAAATTCGCTGGCCGGCTTACTTAAGCAACTCTATATTGATAATCTCATTCTCCTCCTCATTGGGAGCGGGGCTACTTAATGGCGGCTCTGCGGAATGCGTCACCTGAGCCAGCTCTACATTAATCGGTGCAGTAACGTTGGAGTCTGTGTTTTCACTAAGCGTCATCGGGGTCGTGGCTTGCGTGGCATCAGCTCCTGCACTGGGAGGCCTATTGGCAACAGCGCCAAGCAGCGTGTCTATAAGATTACCAAATCGGTGCACAATGCTCAAGCCAACGCGTTTGGCAGTTTCTTCTAGGCGCTTTGCCTCTGTCTCCAAATCTTCTATCCAGGGCTTAGCTTTCTCCAGTGTACACTGCACATTATGCAGAAACTGATTTACCTCGCTGGGCCTGGGCGTCGCTCCACTCTCTTCGCTTGTCTTGACACTTGCCTGGCCATCCGTTCCACAGATGATGGGTGCCGCTTGCAATTGCCCAATGCATAGCAAAAGCATTGGTAGCATTAGTATATGAGCCATCATCATATCCGTCCCTTAGTTTATGTTGTGGTCCCAAAAATTGGCTTATTGTGTTTTCCTTTACCTAAGTCTTCACTTTAACTGTTTCGTGTGCTGTAGACATTAAATAGGCGTGTGCAGCGACTGAGGCTAAAAACCTGACTGAAACAAGTTTGCGGCCAACTGCAAAGGCATGACCGCTCCACCAAGCTTGGATTTCAACTGCAGATGGGTTACAGAGCGCTTGCCAACGAGCTCTTTAAGAAAGTCGTCAAGCGAGTAAGCCGCCAGCAAAACGTATTCCCCAATCAAAACAAATAAGAACATAAAGAACGGGTGCTACCGACAGTTCATTACTCTGTTCACAGTGTAAAAATCTGACCTGAGAGCATTCTTGATTAAAGATTTGGCGAGTCTACAAATTCTAGCTCTTTTTTTTTTAATTTAAATAAATAAAACAATGCCATTTATGAGACTTAACTTATTTTCTTATCAAGTTTCACTGATCTTTTGAGAAGTTCAATAGTAGGAGTAGGAGAAGCTGTAGGAAATATAATTTTTGTGGCTGGCCGTTTCTATTTTCGAACTTTTAAAGTTGGCGGATATTTGGCACTTGCGTACGGACGTTTATTGTACTGAAACAATATACCCGTTTTAACTATATGAGAAGGGTATACAAAGGAAAGGGAACAATGCACTTAAGACACTCTAATTTTGTTTACACAAAGTCGACCTCATTGTCAATCGATTGTACCGACAAAAAGTTCTGAAAAATAATAGATCGACAAGCCGCCGTAAATGATAAAACAGCGATCATCTTAATTAAAGCATATGTAGATAGATTACTAAGCAAATCGAATGGTGCATGCAAAATGAGCAACTTGATTATATGCAATTGCTTACATGCAAGGCTATGTATTATGCTTATTCATGGGGTCAAATATTCCGTCTTGAGCCTGGTTAGAATCTTAGCTTATGGAGTACTAGCGCGTATTCTCCGGCTTTGCCCGTATATATATATATTTTTTTTTTTTTCACCCATCACCCTCCCGTTGAAATATCTACCTATTTTATATAAAGAACAATGGACATTCCAGATCTAAAACTCAATATTAGCTTTTAGAATTTATATAAAATGTTGGGTACATTTGATATAGCAGTTTGTTTTATTTACATAGCAGATAAACGAAATAATAAACACACAAAAAAAAAAAAGGATTACATATCAACTCAGCTGCATTACTTCCTTAGCTTGCTGCAGTTGCCCAAGGCATCCAGAATGTGCCCGTGTCCGCACTGTTGCTCCCCTTTGAGGATGTCTGGATTGATGATCTCGACGTTGGCAAGAAAGCCGCGATCTTTGCTCATCTCCTCAGCGGAATCTTTGGCAAGCTTTTCGCGAAAATCACCGAATCGCTCCTTAATATCGGAGCCCAGATCCTTTGCACGCTCTCCCAGTTTCTTGGCACCCTCCTTTATTTCAGTACCTAAGTCCTTTGCCTTCTCCCCCAGCTTTTTTGCGCCATTCTTTAGCTGACATCCGACGTTCTTAAAGAAGTCGCTTACCTCGTGCTCGGAACTGCTGCTACTGCCAGTTATCTCCGAAATTTTTTCGCCCATTTCAGTGAGCACAGCAGGCACTTTCTCCTCACAGTCAAGCAGATCTGCATGGCTATAGGAAAGTCCAAGCAAAAGCACTGACAATAACCAAATTCCACGTATCTGTCGCATGCTTATTCACGTATATTATGTATAAGATTCTATATTCCAGTTGCTGATCTTGTCGTTTAGTTCCTGAGGTGCCGGTAAGATAGTTGGCTTCCAAACTGAACCTGACCGTAGACTTCGGTTGACTGGCTTCGAGCGAGGACTGTCCAAGCGTTTTATTCACCCCCTTGTAATAGTCATAAAGGCCACAACAACAACAACAACAACAACAGCAACCAAATAACAAGGCAGCCCCGTTTTTTTTTTCAAAAATTGTCGCCTTTTGTTTGATTGTTGTCTTGATGCCTTCGCCTTTCCGCTTTATTCAATTTATGGGCTGACGCCAAGTCGAACTCAATGCTGATAGAGACGCACTCGTTTGTTCGCTTTTCTTAATACATAAGTTCAAATTCAATTACGGGTTCAACAACAACAACAACAACAGCAGCAACCGTAATAACGACAATGACGAGAACTTCCCACTTTGCCGTTGATTCTGAGCTGCGCTTTTTCGCTAATTCCGAGTTTCCAAATATGCATAGGCATAGCGAATACCCAGTGTATTGCTTGCTAGTCGAGGCACTGATACAGGCCTATGTATGTAGAGCATCTTAAGTTCGTTCACTAGACGTATGAATATACATAGCTAAAACCACCGGAATACTCACTCTCTATACATACATTGATATACTCCCTAATCTGAGCATAGCCGCTAAATTGGATCGGATTTGTTGTTGTAAATACTTAAGCTCGTTAAAAAAAAAAAACAGGAACAATCTAAGGTCTACAAACAAATATATATTTTTTTACCCTCTCGTTCTAAATGTGATTCACTTGCCAGTTCTCAACGCGATAAATAAAATGTCAGTAATATGCATTGACTTTTTAGAAAATTGAACATTTAAGTAAAGCAACAAGTATAATTGAACTTAAAGCAAACATTTTTAACATTAAGACAGTATCATTATCAAAAGTTTATTTAAACATTTTCGATATATCCGTTTTAAACATGGAACCTATTTAAAAGGTATGCTTTGCTTGTAATATACTTATGTATATGGAAGCTTTAAATGGTCGCGTTGCCGGTGAACTTTGGCTTATAAAAGAGCATAAAACTGCTCGGGAATATCGAATTTCCATACATATATTTATTCATTTATTCTTCAAACTGAAAGTCTGAACTTTAAATGGGATGTTGGGGCAATTGGGAACTGTTTTATTTGGTCAAATCATTGCCGCCAATGCTGCCACCAGCATTAAAGTAATCTGCAGCATCTGGGATCTTCTCGGTGTCCGTGCTGCCAGCAATGTCCTCGTTGTCTTCCTCATCGTCCCCCTCAAAATCATAAGTGTCATCGAACCCCAGCGAATAATCCTTTTCCCCTGTGGGCACTGTTGTTTCAGGTAATTCCTGAGGCAACTCTGGCAAAAAGGGCAGCTCAGTGGTGGAAGTGGCAACAGTACTGGTGGTGCCAATAGTAGTTGTGGCTTCAGTTTTAGTTGTTGTTGGTGAGCTGTGGCTGTCCGTGATGATATTTGGCTTATTAGAAAATTTAGTGCCTGCAATGAAAATGAAATGAAAACAATTAAATGACGTAATGCCCAATAGTGCATTCTTCATAGCTTACACTCGGGCAATGTGGGCTCAAAGTCGCATCTTATGCGTAGGTCCATATCCTTATCAGTTAGCCGTCTGATCTGCTTTGGTCGAGGCGTGGGGCGACGCACAATGTAAACTTCGCGCACCTCATATATTTCCAGTTCGGGATGATTTGGAGATGGCCGGCGACGAAAGAAACGCTTGTAGTGGACAGGATTGGCAGGTACGTCGGCCGGATACGGCGCCGATTCCACAAGCACGCCACAGATGCAGAGCATCGCCGCGAGCATTATACTCAGGACATATAGTAGTTTTTCCATCGCTGCGCTATGTAGAAGACTGATCGAGTGCCTTCTCATCGCCGCTTTAGCATGTCGGGTACTCATTATCACAATTTACGCAGTCCAATGCCTGATAACCTATTGACCCAGCTTGTCTGCAGATGAACTCGTCATTTTGAAAGGCACTGCATACTTTAGGGTGGCCATTGCTTATTTTTATAGATTCCCTTTGAAATTGGGTAAACAAAGGGTATATTTATTTGGGGTAAATCCTTGTGACAGGTAAAGGGAGGCATATCTGTTCCCATAAAATTAATATATTCTTAATCAGCATCAATAGCCTAGTCGATCTAGCCATGTCCTTCTGTCTGTCCTTCCATCCGCATGTGTGAACGCAAGGATCTCAGATACTATGAGAGCTACAGGAGAACTTTGAACTAAGGTCCTCTAAATGCCTGCACAGTTCGAGTTTAATTCCGATAATCGATAACATGCCCCTTTTCTAAGCAAACGATAAGACTCGATATATTTTTGATATATACTTAGCTACAACAACAGTATATACAGATCAGCATGTTTCATTTAATAGCCTCCGACTGATGCCTATAAACCAAATAAACAATTCAATTGAAACTACCCACAAATTGCAAATTGCAAGTAATATTCTCTATATACATACATATATATATATATATATATACGCTCACTTTCATGCGCGTCTTTATTTAATTCTATAAACAACATTGCGATTGCGATTGAATTGTGTTGCTGCATGTGCTGTTATTTTAATTAAAGTTTTTGCTTTCGTTAAAATTTGATGGTAAGCAAGTTAATCGGTTACGGTACAATAGAGAAAATTTTTATGTTTTTCTAATTAGTTTAATTACTGCCAAAGCAGGCGAGTTCGTGTTGCGAGCCGCTTTTGTGGTTGGCGAATGGAGATTAGGTTATCGCCTAGTCGGGAACTCCCGGCTGGAGCCTTTTACTTTTTTCCATTTCTAAACCCCTAATAAAACACTACAGCAATCCCTATAATAGAATTGGCAACGCGAGGTGTCCAAACACAAGATTACTTCTGACCATCTAACCGGAATGCTAATGGAATGCCGATCGATAAAATGAAGAGGGGAAAAGGCTTTTTTGTTGATTGCATTATCAAATGTTAATGTTGGAGTGGGCGTGGTATGAATATTTAAATTAGATCAGCTGTAATATATTTACCAATCTGATATATTATCTCTTGCTCGAAAAGTGTAGAGAACGAAAACACTATGATCTGCATATACATATGTACATATGTACATATTTATCTGTATATAGTCTATACTTAAATTTTAGAGGCTCTAGCTTTTAAACGTGATGAAAACAATGTTTTCACATGGATTGGCAGCTAGATGGACAATGTAAGCTTTTTCGCTTTATTAACAGAATATAGAAAGCTTTTTGTAGAAAACAGCTGCCAGTTGCCATCGTGAGAGCGTGATATACATACATACATACAAAGATGATATAAAGATGCTGCAGCATTAATGGTACATGTTTGCGGTTCTTTTGGCCCCATTTCGATCACAACGCCGAACAGTTGGTGACGGCCTTCGCTGGCGGGCAGACGCGCACAAGTAGCTGAGCAGCTGATCGCACAGAATTGACAGAGAGGCAACATAGAGAGAGAGAGCGCAACAGCACTAGAAAAAGCGATTAACAGTCTGAGAGCGTGAGAGCGCACGAAACAGTAGTTGCGAGTGTACATTAGAGCGAGACGGTGAGATCTAGCTGGCATTGTAGAAAATATTAATGTACAAATTGCAAATTGATTGAAACTGAAGGTGCACCAAATAATTGTTGTGTTGCCATTGTTGTTGTTATTGTTGAAAGTGGCACATTTAAATGTCACGGGAAGAAAAGCGGTAGTGGCAGAAAATGCTCACTAAAAATATACGCCAAGACTAAAAGCACAAAAATGAAAGCACCCAAAAACGCTACGCGTGGGTAGAAGAAAAAAAAACAACGTCTTTGACTGTATACATACATACATATGTACATATGTATGTGCATATAAAATGTACGTACACATTAATGTAAGCATATGAACGAACAAACATATACATATGTATATATACATATAATGCATATAGTATAATTGCTAGCATAGTTGAGATAAACAATAAATTGGCTGTGCGCCAGGACGCAGGGAGAGCAGGAAAACGAAGCCAGAGCACGCCGATATTGCTGGTTCAGCCTGGCCAACAGACAGCAAACAGGTGGAAGCATCAACAACATCATCTAATGTGCAGTAGCTGTCACCGGTGCTTTAGCCAAGAGCAATGTCAAAGCAGCCACATCAGCAACAGCATTCGGAATCCACCTCCGACTATGAGGACCAAGAGCCGTACGATCCTCTGACAAATCTGCTACGCCTGCAACTCCGTAAGCCAAACCACTGGAACTGGGAGTTGAGCACGTCGCGTAGCTGCAATAATATTGCATTGCCGAGAATTCTGCTGTATGATAACACGGGCGCGCTACTGCTGGATGCGGATGGGTTAAGCGAACAAACATATCGGCCTGTCAACGTTCCAGATTGTAGGCGAAAACTTTCGACTGGCAGTCATAACCAACGGCTCCAACGGGCGCGACTTCCTGGCGACTTCAATGGCCTGTGTATTGGTGAGGCGGCTCCAAGCGTTACACCCACGCCCGTGTTCCCATTTAGCCGGCAGCAGATTGCAGGAAGCTGTATTGACCTAAGTACCCATGAGTTGCCGAATTGGCAGCCGCACGGAATGGATGGTTCGCGTCGCTCGAGCTCGCTGCGCGGTGCTCGGCTTGAGATTCAGGATCACCGGCTAGACCAGCCACAGCAGCTAACACAGAAATCTGCATATCCCACGCCGCCATCCACCTCGACGATGACCACGACAGCGAATTCGTCGTCGTCGGGACCACGTGAGAAGCGTCGTTATCGACGCTCTCACAGCTCTGGCCAGCGTTCAATACTGGAACGGTTTAGCATGACACGCGGTCGACACTCCTCGCCGGAGTATATCCAGGAACAGGTATTGGAGCATAAGCCGCGTTACTATCTGTGCAGCAGTAAGGCCGGCACACTTGTAATCCAGGATGAGAGCTTCAATCGAGTGCGGCAGCGCCGCCGTCGTCAGAGGAATTCCTCCACCGAGAACGTATTGGTGCAACAGAATAGAAGCCCCGCAGATAGTGTCGTGCAGGCCACGTCGCACAAGCGTCACCAGCAACAGCTGCGCTGCCGGGAGGCGCTGCTTCTTACCTCAGACGAAGAAACGCAAGCCCAGAGCCAAAGACATTCAATGAGGCATTCGCGATGCAGGCAAGCTAAACGAATATCCGGCAACGATGGGACCACTCAAGGTGAGAAATACATTATATACATTACACTCTCTTCTCAATATTGAATCCTCTGCACCTCGTCTATTTCTTAGAAATTATCACAGTCGACCCGGGAAACTGTATGCACCAAGCTGTGCCTTGTGCTACGCGACGATGACGTCAATAATGTATGTCCTTGTATACAAAAATATACAAAGATCGCCTGTTCTCTGCTCAACGGCAGCTTTTCCTTGCCTTGGTTTCTAAAGCCATCTCTGTGTAAGCAAACACAAATCTAAGAACATACAAATAAAAAAAAATCATACAACAAAATCTGCACGGAGTAGAATATAAATATGTATATTTCTAATAACAAGTCTAACTCTGATATCATAGGCCTGGTAAAAACTGCATACTCTTTATGGACTTGAATTGATTTCCTTCTGTTGCTTATTTTACCTATTTTACGAAATGTTCAATTGAAATGTATCTTTGTGGAAGCACTTAATGTGGATTGTTGGCTCCCGTTACCAGTATACTTTTGACTTCGGATACCAACTGCAGTAAGAGGCAGAGCCATGCGATTATATTTATGTTTGCATTTGGATCGCACGGACTAACAGCATTGGAGGATTTCTTAAATTCATCTGGGGGTGAGTGCTTATGTTTTTTTTAAGCGTATATGTATGTGTATAAAAGGTGTATAAGAAAAAGCTCTCTGGGCACAGGGTATTTTCCAGTCACTATTTGCAGAGCAGTTACAGAGCTTCTGTGTTCTGTATACAGTCTGTTGCAAACGACTGCTTTGTGTTTCTAGATTACCAATTGAAAGGGGTATATTGGTTTGGTGCTATGTCCGTCTCTCTGATAATGATATACTTGTGTTTCGTTGTGTTACCATTAAATGACTACGCCCACTGATGATGAAATGACCAGACTATATATATATATATACATATATTTTGAAGCTAGAATGCCCAAATTTGGAATTAAGATTAAAAATTGGGATGTGCACTTGATACTGCTGCGTATCAACTTTGCAACACCTTGGCTTGCACAATCAGCTGTGTGTTATTTAAATTTTAGCTGATAATTTATGATTGGTGATATATTTTTTATTTGAATATACTCTTGAGAAAAAATAAGGGCAATCAAAATTTTATGTAAATTTGAACTTGCCGAAGGTGTAAATTAGTTGCATATTTTTATGTTTTATAAACCTGCTGCTACTGTAACAGAATCTCCCAAATATTGTATATATAAAATATGTACGCAAAAATCGATTAAAATAATCGAATACCTATTGTGTCGATTTGCATCTTTCGTAGTAAAGAGTCTGGGTCTAGCAGTCTTGCAAGAACCTATTCCGCATTTTTGTTGCGAGGTCTCGCAAAATTGCCAAGCTGCAACGCCAGGTGATGAGATGACTGAGTTATGCAACGTCCCAAATGAGCTTTTCTAAAGATCGCTAAGAAAACGAATATTATGCATAAAAGTGTTGGGAGCGTGGAAAATCGGAAATATCCGTGTCCGTTTTAGAATTTGGGCTCCTCTCTCTTTTTTTATTTAGGCTGTTATTAAACTATAAGAGTATTCCCATATGCCTTTATACTTGATATTTACTTCGGCCAAAGGTTGAATAAGGCGTCAGGGCAATCTAATAACGCGATCCGCCTAAGAGTATGCAGCAATAATCAAATAACGAATTTTGCACTGTCATAGGCTACGGCGTACTTCCAGTCGAAATATTTAAAAAACAAGATCGTGGTAAACTGGTACACCAGACTGCGCAATACTCTGTTCACCATCAAAAAGGCTCCAATCAGTCGAACAAAGTTGTTCTAGTTATTTGTAGGTGTAATAACGTCATTCAATTCGTGATTTTAAAAATGATCGATTTCTGCAGTTTTAATAGAGCCAGGTGGGCGTGGCTGCAATACGTTTGTATTGGAAGGTCGTCAGTAAAGTTGAAGCTAGATTTGATGACTATATGTATCTCTAAGGCTGTGGGATATATAGATTGCCGCGGTGTGGCATATACAGCATGTGAACAAATAAGTCTTTAGCTTTAATAACTGCGAAACAAATTGCATTCAAATAGACGAACAGACAGACAGGCAGCACGATAGACCAGATGGACAACCAATATTGACCTTTTCATTTTGTGGACAGAGTATCAAAATTGGTCTGAACTGTAAACAGATTGATAAGAGACTAAACTGTCCGAACGGAACTCGTGACGGGGATGGGCACACACAGATTAAGCGTAGAAGCAACAGCGTCCACATCAAATCTTGATTCTCGGTGCGTAGAAAACGGTGGTCAGACAACGTCGTGTTGGCTCCAAACGGAAAAGATGCTGCTGCTGTGCTGTAGATTGTGGCCAAGGCTTCTGTTTTTGGGACTGCTTTCGGTACTGGTGATGTTATGCCTGCTGCAGAGCAGTGCCGCACGCGTTATTTATTATAATGTGCTCAACAGTAATCAGAGCATAGAGGCCGAAAGTAACAACGATATCAACACCATCGGTAAGGGCATGTTGTTTGAAGTACGACGCCTCGAATGCAGGCGTGGCTACATGCATGATCATCACAATCGCTGTCGCCGAGTAAGTGACAAACTGGAAGTAGTTAGCTTTAAATGTTATTAATTGATTTGCACTGTTTTCCAGATTGTATAGCAACCTTTGGACTAAGGCTCGTTAACTTATCGATGTATCCAGAAGTCATTAACGATTAAGCATTATAATATTTCATAAAAACTACGTCACAAGACTGGAGCGAAGCGATACTTTCATGATGAAATAATGAGAAGTTTCACGAATAGCAAATGGCAACGGCAGATACTTTACAGATACCGAATAAGACACGGCGACAGATACAGAATACACGAGCACAAGACACACATATTTTTAAGATAAAGGGACCATTAGGCACTGACTCAACCATCTATTTTTATATCGATAAAAACCCGCTACGGTGGCGTTAGCTTGGTCACATTTTGCGGAATTTTGGGACGTGGTGTCACACCAGCTGGTCTGTGACGTAGCTAGTGGCTTCCTAGGAAAGCCATTAGACAACAACAACCGCTGATTATATTGTTTATCAACTCATGCTGCTAGCGTCTTTTTAGTGGGAACAGTTATGGTGAATAGCCACTTAAAATGTAGAAAACATTAATGTCTGGCATGGTGATCCCCTTGCATTTCTGAATATTGGTAATGAAAATTCGCCCAGTTTGTATGTTGAATAATTATACCGAAAATACATATGTATATCAACAATTGCTGTAAGTCACTTAATCCTCCCACACCTTGTACCCAGTGCCGAGCTGTATGAAGATACATTCAAGCATCCTCCAATGTATATGTATATATATATATACAGAAACTGAAACTGGAAACACACTATGGGAAACTTATTCTATGGGAAACTTATTCTATAGTGGTTATAGTCCAATCATTTTAAAAGGGCTTTTTTGGCATTAATTTTGTTTTCTAAATTTTAAATTTCTATAGAGCCCGAAGCCGACGGGTTCAAACAGATGTCTAGGAACACAACTCTAGACTAACTCAGCCTGTTGCCTTAATATTATAACGTGCACGTTTTTATGAGCTCTTTAAAAACATTCAAATCGGGTTCAGCTGTAGATGTCACTCATTGAATATTGAACCTTCATGCCATATCAAACGAGGTACATTTTCAGAAAAGTCTACGACGGGTCTCAAAAGCCCGAGTGGACTGCAAAATATTTACCCATCAAAATATAGATGGATATAGATTTAAAACAATTTGCCGGACAGCATGTGTTTAGCTACTATTGAACTGTGAACAAGTGCATTTACGTTCGGCTTCAACTTTCTTACTTCTTATAGCCTGTATAAATCGCTTCGATCGAAGAACCTGTAAGAGCTAGAGACTCGAAATTTCGATAGTAGGTCGTCCAAGCAGCTAGATCCGTCTCGCTTGAAACATTTATGAGCAGGCTTTACAGAATTCACCACATTGGTCTCCTCAATCGTGTGCTTAGATAGATTTAAGAATGGCGAAAATAACAATCGGAAGAATACAAGACCCCTTATTAAACAGCTAGGTTGAAACACTAAATAAAAGTATCGATATTAAGTCTTAAACAGGTAAGAAAGCTCTAATCAGTACTGCCCGACTACGGAATACCCAGAATCTCTCTTATGCAGCTTTTCGTACAGTATACCATTCCCTATCCACCAAAATGGAATAAACAAAACGCTATTACTTCGTAGTAGATGTCTCCATTTGGCTGCTGCACACTCGCACAAACCCATTATACCCTAATTGTTCATTTTCATGGCTAGAATGACTATTGATGCTGATCAATAATATACTTACTAAGTATGTGGGTGCCTATTGCATACACTTGCACAAAGCCATTTGACTCTTTTCATTCATTTTCAATGGGTAGGTTATAAGAGCTAGATAAATCGAACTTTTTGTGTAGGTTCTTGTGTAGTATATACAAAAATATTTCACTTTCCCACCGTTGCCCGCAAGATTTGAAAAAACTTATCTACAAAACTATTTGCAATCATTTCGGTTTCATATATATTTTTCATAAGCACTATAAACAGCCATGCTCTTCCATTTTCTAACAGAGGAAACTAGTATGTTCAAATTGACTCAGGGGGTGTTTTACAATATTCAGAAGTCAACTGCTGTAAGAGCGAAGTATTGAGTTCGTCCAATCGCCATTAAACTGAATGTGTGTTTCAGCGATTTTGGAAATTCTACCCGCAACTGTGGAAAATGCGCAAAAACAGTTGCATGCCCTTTTTTGTATACCATCGGATCGGCTTCAATCTCCTTTCAATGTTTTTTGACATGTTTTTTTTTTGTTTTTGATGACGCTCTGCAAATCCATCCCTTTTGAATGAAAAATTCAGATCAAAGGTTGAACGAATGACAGATTATATTTCGATTTCAAGTTTTACAGCACTGTACTAAAATGGACTCCAAAGAAATAATTTTAAAACTTGATCTTAAGATAACAGGAGCTAATTAAATTTTCATTGGCACGAAAATGGTTTGAGTATTGATGTCTAAAACTTGCAGCAAACAACTTGGAGCGAACAAGTCCATGAAATACCAGCTAGAATAATATACAAATAATCTTTATAGTGTCAGTGGGTTGAAATTTCTCAGTTTCGCTTTGCTTAACATGTTAGCTGCTAACTCAAGTTCCAAGGAAATTATTTAATAATTTGCATGCCAATATTCTGTATACATATGTCGATATCTAAGCTGTAGATAGTTCTTGCTCGCTGATTTTATGGTCATGTCGAATAGTTGTTAAGTAAAGCGGACAGGCAAAGCAAAGCAAGACTTTCAATTACACAGATTGCGGCTGACATAGTAGCGAGGTCTAGATAAGATTCCCGTATACAGGGTGTTGCATAGACCAATGGGTGGGTGTCAGATGTCGGCGCTATGGCAATTGCTGGTGCAGCCTGTATAGTTTATCAATTTGAAGACGTCGCCAATGTGCGACTGGCAGGCAGAGGCCACTTTTACCTAAGAACTGCTTGCCCAAATCGTATATAATCAGTTAAATGACGGCGTTTGAGCGTATAAGTTTGTCGCCTGTAGCACAGCCTAAAGACTTGAACTCAAAGTGCGGCGATTACACAATTTCACATTGCCACGAAAGTGCACGCAAAACAAACCAACATCGACCCACATTTAAGAGAGCACATCATGATGCTAAAACGCATCCATCAGTTACTTCTATACGCGCTGTGTCTGCTTATCTTGGCTGTGTTCTGTGCACCAGCACCGAGTGAATCTCGGCGGGTGATCTTCTTGGCGCCACCCGGAATCGCCCGCGGGCAGATACTGGCTACGCATGGCATAGAGAAGTCTTGCCAGAAGTGCCACATGAGGGACCATCGTGGCAACTGTCGGCGCATAATATCGTACAGTTCAGGTGTGTATTTATAGCCTTTACGCCGTGAGATAATCAAAGCCTATGGCCACTTCTGTGCTTAGGAGTGTGCTTTACTTAGGAGGCACTTTTTAATTTGCTTTTGCAGATGGCGTGAGCTGCTGACATCGTGGCCGGACGTAGTTAGGTCGTGGCTATCAAACTGAATCTCTAATTCACTCAGAAACCAAAAACAAAAAACGTCATTCGTATTTATTCGCTTTCAGTGCACTATTTATTACATTATTTCACACTTTTTTTGTCTTCTGCTAATAAAATTTGATGAACTTCTGCAAGCATTATAATAATATTTCGTTTGCACATTACTCAATATGAGGTGTACGCGACTAGGAGATACCCTGAACCCTTCGCCGTACTGTCGTCTCGAATATTCAGACTTCCCTGTGGTTCTGGGTAATAGGCCGATGTCTTACGAGTCCCTGGGAAGCAGTATTATGACTGAGAATTTGGAATCAGCAATCTGTGATTTATAATTAACTTGAATTGAACTGCACGTTTACACTGGGAGGACCTCTGCTTCAAATGTAATGTGTCCAGTCCTTTACACATTTATAAGGCACAGGCATACGGACGGACGGACGGACGGATGGATATGTGTAAAACGACTCGGCTGTTCACGCTGATCTTCTGTCTGCCACATACGGATACCATTACACCTTGTTGAAATGTGCAAATAGCGCTCAATCAAAAATCTAGCAGTTCCAGCGGCAAACCTGTATTCTATAATTTGTTGTATGATGGAACATTCATTCTCTGGTACAATGGCGGCCCCAGATGACCAAAATAAACTTTCTTTTTTTTCATATACGTACTTCACCATTACTTATTTAAATCAAAACAATTTGTATAAATGATATAATAAAGCAGAGCTTGTTGAGCGTCCTACATACCTCAGTTATAAGGATTAGACATCGGCAAACTATTTCTTTTTAGAGTCATCAACAAAGGTCTAATAGATTTTAATGCTGAATTCTGAACATAAATTTTCCAAATTTCCAATACAAGGCCACGAATAGTCACAGGATAAAATAGTTTTTGTGTTACTTAAAATGTCTTGACTATGCTCCTTAGAAATTTTCAAAATTTAATCAAAATCGTGGTGCTATATCTGTCACATAAATAAAAACCTAAAGATTGAGGTCTTCTAGAAAAAATCTTTTTTCAGAATACTTGCTTGATAGCTATAGCTTATTTTAATATATCAGCTTAATCAGCTGATAATTTATTAGACCCTTCTTGCAGAACGTATTATAATTTTGTCGTGAAATAAGTAACGCATAGAAGGAGTTATCTTCGACCTCATAAAGTATATAGAATCTTGATCAGTTTCAACAGCCTGGTCGATAAACCAGGTTCAAGTCGGGTGCTCCCGACTAGCGGATACCCTGAATCCTCTTCTTCCAACATCAAATGCATATATATATTTTATTTTAGAGGCTATATGTCAAGTTTGGGGACTCTAGCTCTTATTATTTACCAAAATCGCCCAAAAAACAGGATCGATATTGATTGCTTGGAAACAGAGTAAGTTATCGATTATCGGAAACAAACTGGATCTGCGCGGGTTCTAGGAGCATTTACATCTAAAATTTCTCTAGCTCTTATAGGTTCTGAGATCCTTGCGTTCATACATACGGACGGACGGACAGACAGACGGACATGGCTAGATCGACTCGGCTATTGGTGCTGATTAAGAATATATATACTTTATGGGGTCGGAGATGCTTCCTTCTGCCCGTTACATACATTTGGATTTTGCACAAATACAATATAACCTTATACCCATTTTTAATTGGTTTAGGGTAAAAAATATAAGCGCGTCGATCTCAAAACCTGTTAAAGGTGGAGACTTCGAATTGTGAACGTTGGTCCGAGTTTTTTACGATAACTTGAACCGTTGCCAAGCAATCGATAATCAGTGTCGAAATCTTGTTTTTTCAGCAAATCTCTTAGATGTTAATGAGGTTTTATAGCTATTGCCATCCTCCGCCACCCACATATAGCTATAAATCAAATGAAATAAATCCTTTGGAACTACCCACCAAATTGCAAATTCCAAGTATTTTTGTGTATATGTAAGTTGACAAGTTTATTAAGATATCTTGACCAAACTCGACATTTTTTAGTTCTAGTATGCTCCTCAAGCATTTACAAAATCCTATCAACATCTGACTACTATATCGTATAGCTGCCATAGAAACGATCGGCCCAAAAGTAAAGTTGTTGTATGGAAAACTTTTTGTTTTTCAAGAAATCTTAACCACACTCGGCATTAACTATTTACCTTGTGCTTCTTAAATTCGGGCATTTAATTCACTATGAGCATTAGAAAAAGCTTGGGTCTGCAAGGTTATTAAATCTTTGGCGTGCCGAAGATTGCTCTTCTTTCTCGCTTTTCTTAAAAAATACATTGTGTTTTTGGTTGTCGAGTAGTCAAGCGGTCGCAAGCAGCTGTTGTCAGTAACAAGCTCGAGTCCAATTGAGTAAATCTCTTTTAAAATATATTTTTTACCACTTTAAGCAAACGAGTTCATGGCGAGAGCTGTATTTCGTGTTGGTAGAAAAGGGTTTAGGGTATACCCTAGGCGGGAACCTCCAACTAGTGCGTCAAAGTTGCCTAAGCCGTGTTCAGTCAATCAGTCCGGACGATTTTATAACTATATATGAATGGCTTTCTATGCATAAGTAATTTGAAACCCCTATTAACTTGTAAGCCCATTGTAACAGTCTGCCAAAAATGAAGTTTAGGGATGATAAGTGTGGCTTTTTTAGGAAATATTTCTCACATAGCTAGTGTATGTACATGTATTATCTTTGGATCTGGAATGAAAGACAATGCTATTCATAAATATTGTAGAATATGAGAGCTAGAGCTAGAATTAACACATTTGCGATGAAATGTCTCATGAAGCAGCTTATAGATCAAGGCTAGTTTTGATGCCTCACACAAGTTTTTATGTGGTGCCCATAAGTATGCACAAATGTATGGTTTCGAATTGGGAACAGTACAACTAAAGGTATTTTAGTACAAGAGCACTTTGACTCTTTCACAATCTTAAATCTAAAGTCAACTCGGTCTGTATATTTGCCGACGTCTTAATTGTTGGGTAACTAACTTACAGACTGCAACTTTTAACTGGGATTTCAGGAAATGTCGATTTATGCGTTTTGTGGACGCTACCTCTTTTTGTAGTAGTCTACATTGTGGTTTGCATTAATTTTTTTTTGTAAATTTCCTCAAAACGGACTCGAACTCATAGCCAACCGAGTTACTTGCACCGCCTCTACTTGATATCCATACCAAAACTTTATTTTCAATAGAAAAAAAAAACAGCTAGAATAGGACATTAACTATTAATTGAAAAATGCTAGATACGATGTATCTGGAAGCTACATGTCAAGAGAATTGCTCAAAAAAAAAAAAAAAAAACAGGAGATTTATCGGTGGCTTGGAAACAGGGCATTTATCGAATATTGTAAATAAACTCGTGCTGCGCAGACACTAGGACTTACATTTCAAGTCTATAACTTTAATAGGTTCTGAGCTTGACGTGTTCGTTCATACGGACAGATCAATTAGGGTATTGATGCCGATCGTGGGGTCGGGAATGCTTTCTTCTGCCTGTAATATACATTTGCACGAAAACATTATATCGTCTTTTAGCCATTTTAATTGCGTTCAGGGTATACAAATTTAGTAGAAAAACGAGCAAAGTCGCCTTCTTTTAAAATGTTGAGCATGTTTAGGGAATTTACTGTTCATAGGTCTTCTTGTTAAAAAATTAAAAGCTTTGCGGAAAGTACGGAAAATGATAGAATCACCTTTTGTACTTTCCGCAAAGCTTTCAATTTGTTCATAGGGTTTCGCAGAATAATTTCAGGCGCACAGCTCAAATGCAGCACTTACAGTAGGAGAGCAGCCGGAAGCAGCGTCACTGATTAGAGTTCAAGCTGACCTATTGTGATAATGATGATGACGTCAACGATTTGGGTTCGCGACGCATTGTCTTGGTATTTTGTGAGTGGATTCCCGCCCGCTTTCGTCACAAAGTAGGTTCCGGCCAATTCGCCAATGCCATTACTAAGGTACAAAAATAGAACCCATAAATGCCTTCTGCCTGATGCCAGTAACAGTCCAGGGGTAACAAATGTGCTTCTCGACCATAGGTGTACAGAACAGTAAACCGCTTGTATCTTATCTTATCTGTGACTGGATTGCATGCAGTGGAATGCCCTTATCTTATCTGACAGCGCCGCATTAAATATTGAAAATATCGACACCACTGCGTCGACGACTACGGTAACAACATTGGCGATCAGACACAGTCATAACACAAGTCTGCTGCTAAGCAAGCTGCGAGTGAATTCCACGCGAGTTGCCGTGAAAGGCAGTGCCGAGAGTAACTAATAGAATTTGATTCAGTAGCCGGTCAAAATGAAACTGCAACGCTTACTTCTAGCTGTGGGATGCATTTTGGCGCTCTTGCTAACACATTCCAGTCGAACAACGGAGGCACGTCACCTGATCTTCTACAGTCCACACAGCAGAACGTTAACCGGTCAGCTGCTCATCTCCCAACGCGTCAAGCGACCCTGTCCGGCAGGCAAAATGCGCGATCATCGTGATCGCTGCCGACGTGCTGTCATCTTTGCGAGAAACAAGTGAGAAAAACTGCGACTGAGGGCAGTCACAGAATTCGCTTCTTACCTGAGAAGTTACCTTTTCCATAGATGTTAATGCTTATTTATTGTCATTAAGTTGTAGCTATGTAGCTGGTTTGTTTTTAATATTTATTAATTCCCTTAATATATACATACGTTCGTAGAAAGAGTTATAAGCAATGTAAAAGTTAAGTTCGTGCATGTATTTGCACGTGAACAAATAAAAGTAATTTATACATAAATGATTTATGCACAATTTCACGGACATGAATATTGCTCTTTTCTTTCAATATAACGAATTTCAAGAAACAAGTAAGATTGTTTCGGTCGGGGTCAATTTTATAGGCTTAGTAATTTGTGTCAGCTTAACTTACGCTCGTCTTAACCGACTCTAATTAAATTTCCAGCAATCAATTCATACATATTTCTACTTCTGAACTATGGTTGCAGAGTTATATAATTTGTTATTACAATAATGGTGCTTTCTTACGGACTTTACGACTTCAAAAATGTATGAGAATGGAACTAAAAATCTGAAGGTCAAATTAACACCTGATTCATACAGGTACATCCAGACGATTGGATAATAGACCGATAAATAAGCTTTTCTTGAATTAAGAAAAGCAAGACTAACGGCGCCGACTTGCTGTCAAAATTAATCAAACAACATTCTATACATACATATATACACACACACACACAAACACAAAATTACGCAATACTATTAGAAGTGATTACGTGATTTACTTCCGTGTCTACAGTCCGGTCTTTATGAAATTTAAGGGAAATCCATTTCATTTCAAAATACTTAAGAAATATTCTGAATCTGTGCATACTATACAAATGCCTGCATACAACATTTTCAAAGACAGAGATATGCAAAAATAAACAAAATTTAGCAGTAAGAGTTTTTTTATGTCATCGATAACTAGACCAATTTTCAAGCAAAATTTTAAATTTACATTTAACATAAAAAAAAAAAACGTTTTTTGAGCATATCTTTTAGGTTTTAGGAGCTTGAGTCACCAATCTTGACATGTCTTTGATAAACCTTAAGTGCGCGGTTCTTCTGGGTTTTGTAGGTTTAGGCCTTTTGCTTGCGGGTATTTCCGACCTAATTGCTACACCTATTGCAAATGTATACAAGAGGGTATAATGATCTGATTAAACCGTATGTTAAAAGCTGGAGGCAATTTCTCTGACTCCAAAAGTGTATAAATACTTGATCAGATACGGTGGTCGAGTATATTTAGCAATTAAAGCCGATTAATGATCAAAACAAAATACTTGGAATGTATGTAGCAGAAATATTTTCTTTTTGATTGCGCAATTTGTTATGTTTAAGAAAAGCTAATTAACGGCCTTGTTAGCTTAGTAGACTAGGATAATTATTTAAATGCATGTGAACAAATAATTCTCATAAAAACAGATAGACAGACGGACGGACATTGCATTGAACTTATATACTCCTTTCACTTGCAATTTTACAGATAAAGTACCGTCGCTTTCGTGACTTGTAATTGACGGCAATTGCATATAAGGAGTCTTCAAGTCCCTGTTCCTAACTATCTAACCAACAACACCCCTTGTACTGCTGTTGTTGTATATGGTCTGTTCAATCCAGTCCATGTAATTGCTGACTCTTGTGTAAACGCCGGGAAAATCAGTCTCTCCGCAAATCTCTTTGCCGTACGAAACTATGCCGGCCTGATAAACGTAGTGATCTTTCTGGGGCGTGTACGCTTCGACGGTGAGCGGGCCACCTGAATCGCCTAAGCAAGAATCGACGTTAACACCACCTGAGGCACAAAGCTGACCATTATTAATGGTGTAGCCAAGCTGGCGAAAAGACGCCTCACACTGTTCTTGCGGCTGGACGTAGAGTACGGCCTTGCGCTTAACATCGCTGGGCTGATTGTTCTGCTCGGTAGCGCCCCAGCCCGAAACGTCAGCGGCGCTGCTCACGAGCTGATTGGCGCGTGAGCCACGCGCTGGCGGTAGGCAAACGGGCTCCACGTGCTGATGCTTGTGCCAATCTATCGGTTGTGCGAGACGCAGCAATGCAATGTCATGAGTTAAGTTTTTTGAGTCAAACTGTGGATGCATAATTTTTAGATCGATGCTGACTTGAATGTGCGGCGGCGCACATTCCTGCTTTCCATTCAATTGGATTATGCAGTCTGGATTACTCGTCTTATTCCATTCGCCCAGACGGGCCCCTGTCAATGTTCGATAATTGCCAACAAAGTGGTTGTGAACGCAATGGGCTGCCGTAAGGAGCCATCGTGAAGCAATGAACGAGGCACCGCAAATGTGCTGTTTGTTTCCATTTTCGCGTACCGTATATTCCAATAGTGCGGTCCAGGGAAATTCAAACAGCTCTGTGTTTTTGCCCCCGATCACTCTATAGGCCAGAGAAGCGCCACAGTCTGGATACCTTGGAAGCTCTGTAGTTTCTTGCCTCCCAGTTTGAACTCCTTGTGATACTCGCACTGACAACAAGGGCAAAACATTTTGTTCACTAGGGCAACATACCTGTTAATAAGAGATTTAATCAGACTTAAGTTTGTGTATGTTATATATCTGGAAAATGTAGTGAATATACGTATTCGTCCGTCTGTATGTTCCTGTTTCAGTTGTCAGTTGCTCTCCCTATGAAATGTTTGAGCAATCAATCTTAAATAATGATCTTTAGAAGAATACTTGATCATTTCTGTAATACTTGATCACATTTAAAGATTTCGTTAAGATCCTTGCCTTCGACTTTATCTTATAGTCAGTATGTACAAATGTAGAAGTTAGCGGGACCGAATCACTTTATCATCATCATTTAAACTTAGCAACAATAGTTCGTTAATATATTATTTATATGCACACCCTTTTCACCCTTTGTCAACGCTTCTTCCATCATCCTCTCCTGATTCGCTTACCCAAAAAATTGTAACTTACCAATCCGGGTCTCTGCAGCGAGTAGCATTGTCGATTGCTCTCGACATCCAGTTTATTCAAATATTCAGGAAAAACACAGTTGTTGCGATACACACATTGCCCAGAGCCGAGGTCCGTCAAGCAATTCCCAAAGTGTGTAGGTACTGTAAATGGTTGCCAAATTCGCATATAAATTGTGCGTAAAGATCACACAGCGCAATTAGTTATTTTACCATTGTCCCTCGATTCTGGTGCTTCCAGTTGTGCCTGCAGCTGAGCTCCCAGTAGCAGTAATAGCAACAGTAATACATGCGACGTCATCGATGGGTAACCAATGCTAGCTAGTTCAACTAACCGCTTCAATCGCGGTATAACAACTGTTTTCAATAAAGCTGGCACTTGCCTCGGACCCAATCGCCCGCTTGGATGCAATCAATTGAGCACTCTCAATCCCAATGCAATTGTCGTGACCTCCAAATGGCTATCGTTAAGTTTTCGATTCGCTCTCGCATTGATTAGCATTTGTATTTACTCAATTTCTATTGGAAAAACCCGGCCAAGTTGCAGTCGCAAAAGTAACAACAGTGTTAACAACCCCACACTGATCGAAACGCCATTGATTACGTATATGTTATAAAAAACAAGAAATAACGTCTTTCTTCGGCACATCGAAGAGTAAATACCCTTCCGGAGTCATCATTTACGATTTAACAGATATGCACGGAGAGTAGTGAAGCTTCTATTTGATAAGTTTTGAAAAGACATTTTAATCAACAGAAAACCTGGATGTATTATTACGATTTGCATAAGATATGGCGCATATGGAGAAAAACTTATCGATCGTTTTAATGACAGCTTCATAATATAGTTGTGCGTTCCGATATATGTATAAACTGCTTGCAATAGAAAGATGGACTAATTCTCATTGAAACAGACATACGGACACGGCTATATTGTTTTGTCTGTTGATACTGATCAAGAATATATATACTGACCGGGTCTTCTATGCATTGCGCACTTTATAACCAAATTAAAATACCCCCTAGAAGAGTACACCAATTAATCGTCTGGGTTGTATATTCATTTTTAATATATATTATTTATACTAACACAGACTTGTTTGCAGTAACGGAGATACTCAGACGTAAACAGATATAATACATATATAACTTTATTATATAGCTGCATAGGAAGAACCGGTTGAAAAATGAGTTTCTGTCTTGCGAGATATGTTTACCAAACTCAGCGTTTACCAGCTTGACTATTCTCACATATCCGCAAAGCCGTAAGGGAAACGTCAACAAGGGTACTAAACCATCGGAATTCCGAAAACTTATGAACTTTCTCGTTTAATTACCTTCCCGAAAAAAATTTGATAAACGTTTTTGTTATATTTTTTATAAACATTCTGAATATAAACTTGTAAGAGCATTCAGTATATATAAATTCTATCCGGACTGGTAGCATTTCCCTGGACCTCAATATTGGAATATAAGGAACGCGAAAATGGCAATAAACCGAACTTCTGCGGCTTGCCTAACGCCAGCGCGTGGCCCACGCGCCAATCAGCCCATTTTCGGGCTGGGGCGCTACCGAGCAGAACAATCAGCCCAGCGATGTTAAGCGTAAGGCCGTACTCTACGTCCAGCCGCAAGAACAGTGTGAGGCGTCTTTTCGCCAGCTTGGCTACACCATTAATAATGGTCAGCTTTGTGCCTCAGGTGGTGTTAACGTCGATTCTTGCTTAGGCGATTCAGGTGGCCCGCTCACCGTCGAAGCGTACACGCCCCAGAAAGATCACTACGTTTATCAGGCCGGCATAGTTTCGTACGGCAAAGAGATTTGCGGAAATATATATATACTTTATGGGGTCGGAGATGCTTCCTTCTGCCTACATACACACATTTGAGCAAATAGATTATAACCCTTTTTAGCCAATTTTAATGGATTGAGGGTATAAAAACTCTCAGCTTTAAAGCTAAAGCTTGAATCTAACGTCTTGAAACCTTCCATAGGTCCATCTTTTTGCTTTCTGTATTTCGGCAGTACATATATTGGATCCAGCTGTATTATATAGCTACGATAGGAACGATCGATCGAAACACCTTTTTGTGAACAAGATAATTTCACCAAATTAAGCACATTAACTAATTCAACTATTCTGCTTATATATTGGCTGAATCTCAAGCTCAGCATTTACCAGCTATTGAATCTTCGGTGTGTCAAAGACAGCTGAATGTTCTCGTAGGAAAAGATTTTCATTAAAACGTTCATTATTAGAAGAAAAGAAATATTGCTGTTCTTTCAATAACAGCACCTTAGCAGAATCCGCTAAGAAGTGGATATAGCCCTTTAGCTTAGAAAATTTCATTTACCACAAATGTTAGGCAAGCGGCGACCTCAAAAAAATGCGACAGCTAGCCAAAAATTTCATAAAGCCACGCAGAGCAGACAAAACCAGCTGGATGGTGTAGGGCGTGGCTGGGCGGGTGCTGTTTCAGTTTGCTAGTCTCGTTCAACAGGCCCAAGGCTAAATCTACGAAAATGTCACAGAAAAACCGCACAGAACACAAAAGTTTGAACTTTTCCAGTGGGCGTACCAGCTGCTTTGCCTTTTATTTAGGCTACCAGCTGCGCCCCATTTCGTTTTTTGTATGGTGTATTATTAGGGGGATGGAGACGTGGAGCACATCGTCTTTGCATAAATGCAAAATATATGCAAAGCTTAAACTGTGCGAGTCATGAAAATCTGATGCCAACGGAAAGCAACTGTCTGTTTGAACCGTAAGCTGGAAGGGGAACTTGGATGCAGAATTGACAATGGGGTACTGGTCAATGGGTGTGTGCCAGCGATATGTTCGCGTTCAAAATTTCAGATTTAAAATGCCGCAGTAGTTGCATTGCTTCTGCAAAAACAATAGTCACAATCGCCTTTCAAAAGGCAAGAATGCGAGAAGCTGATGCTTTTAAAGATATCAAATTCAAGCCAGATATTGTATTCAATAACAGATATTAAATTAATTCTAATTGTCACAATTAAATACATACTGGGTAAATCCTTATGCGAATTCAATTGGCGATTCTTTCCTTTGTGCGCTTTGACGGTAATTTTTAGCTTAAACTTTTTTTTTAGTTTGTGTACTTTAAGCCAGTTCTCTACAAGTATAGAGAAACCAGACAAAATGACTTGTTATTTGTTTACTTTATGATCGTGGTGCGATTTTCTGGGACGAATACTAGTTGGACAATTTAAATGAATGCAACTCCAAGAGATTCTTACATAAGTTATTTGCTTATTCGTACATCGTGCAACGCAGTCACTATTTATTTTTGCTGATTCTATGATACAATCCTTATGGCCAGCGGTGTCCATTTTCTAACAGAATACAACAGGCGGCAGCAATTGCTGGCCAACAAGATGAAGCGGAAGTTTTTGTGCGTCGGCAGTCGACGAGACGATGCTGGTATAGCTATTCCTCTTTGACGTTTCTCATTATACCCTGTACCAATTAAATATAGGTAAAGAAAAAGGTATCATGGTTTTGTGCAGAGGCAGGAGGTGATTTAGGATGTGGTTAAATGCCATGTTTGTGTCATAAAACATAAAACTTATTCAAAATTAAATTATTATATAAACAAAGGGGTACACGGAATTTTGTAGTCACGAACAGTCGAGTATAGCATTCATGTTATACCCTGAACCAATTGAATATGGATAAAAAGGGTATGATGGCTTTGTGCAAATGCATGTAACAGGCAGAAGAAAGCATCTCTGATCCGATAATGTATATACATATATTCCAGGTCAATCGACTCGAGTCGATCTAGCCATGTCCCTCTGTCTGTCGACCGTGTCTGTTCTACTTTTTTATGAACGCCTCGTTCTCGAAACTTTAAAAGACTTCAAAATTTGGCCGAATAAATATTTCTAAATTTATCGTAATTCTAATACGAATTAATGCCTTTTCCTTGCAAATGTTTATCCAAGTTTCTGATTAGTGAACATTTTAAAATGAGTTCGCATAACGAAAAATTAGATGATGATTTTTAAAAATACCATGAATCTATTATCAATACATATATACTAAAAATGTGCTATAGGACATTTTTTAGCACGAGCATATGAGGCTTGATTCAAATTATCGACGGCTTGCCCCGCCCTGTCTGCTTGTGATTTTGGTAGAGAAGTGTTCAGTCGGACACTCCCGACAAGAGCACTCTTACTTGTTAATTTTTTTACAGTGCAAAACTTTGTCTAGAGCTTGACTTTTATGTGGCTCAAAGGCAGGCGGAATGCTGCAGGCAAAGGTGGATGGCTTGGGTACTGGGCGAGCCCATTGTGTAGCTCCAATGCCTTCTTCGGGCGGTCAGAAAAAGGCACTGCATAACTTGAAGCAAACTGCTGCAGCACCCGGACCTGACAGAAGTATCTGTTGCAATGTCACCAACTTGAACATGGCGGCAAACGGTTGGAGGGGGAAACAGTGGTGGCAGCGATAATGAATACCGTTGTTGGCGATAATGTTGGCGCCTGTTTGGCTTCGGGTTCAGTTAGCAGCATTGCTACCCATCGCTGTCAGTATGCCAAACGGTGTCCTCCTGCTGCTTGCGCCAAGCCTAATACAAGTCAACAGCGAGTGCTGATAAAATGCCCCGTGGCCATTGTAGAGTTTCATGCACAATGCGTTTGCCATCAGACTTGGATTTGCTCTTTTAGCATTGATTCAATGTTATGAATAACTTTTCAGAAACACCGGCATAGCCCCCCCAAAAGTAGCAACGACAAAAGTTGCCAGTTTTTAATTGAAAATTCAAGCCCTTTCTGCCGGCAGGTGGTTGCGACAAGAATTATGTGCATGAGGTGAAGTTCGAAACAAAGGGGGAACAAATGGGTGCAAGAGAAAAGAAATCATTTTGTCGTCGCGAATGCATAAAAGTGAGAAAAATGCCCAAGGAACATTATTCTCTACCGCCCATGGGCACAAAAAGCATGGTTGGTGTTAGTGTGAAGTCCACTGTGTAAAATTGGCAGTGCATTTGTTTTGAATTGGGTGCAATATTTTAATCATTTAAATCACTTCAAACTTATTCCTATCATTCATATTTATACAGCCACTTTTGTTTTTGCGGAGAGCTTGTGGACAAGTTCTGTTTTTAAACCCTGAACCCACTGAATTTGGGTAAAAAGGGTATAAGCATTATACATCATGGAAATACTTAAATGTAACAGGCAGCAGTGGCATCTCCGACTCCATAAATTATATATATTCACGATCAGCCATTCAAACGCCGAGTCGATCTAGACATGTCATACTTTTTGACGATGCATTAGGCAAAATCAAGTAAATAAAAATTCCAATTAAAACAACAACAATTTCATAACAA